ATATGCAAAGTAAAATTTGACTCTAGCTAGAGCCTTTGCTCACTTGTAGGAGCCCACAGTGCTCACCACCAGCACAGCTGAAATGCCTGCTGTGGTCAAGAGACATCTCTAAAGAACTGCAAATAGGCAGTAAAATGAACACAAAAAATTCTAGACTAAGATCAGTATTAGCAGTATACTTCCTGCATAGGTCAATTTTTGATTGGCATATGTAATGATATTTTACTTCTAGCCACTGTTGGAAGACACAGTATGTCGAGACCCCACTATGTTGCTGGTTAAGCTTGGATCAAGTGTATAATGGCCTTTATACTTTAAAATTATCTATATTTTGGTGAAATCTGAGTTCAGAGATGAAATCCCTGTAAGTTCTTCTTCAATTTCATTGTTAGATTCAGAGCCAACTATGAGGCTCCATTACTCACTAAATGGTTTTACTAATTAGTATTCAATGTTCTCTTGTGTGTCTGCAAGTGTTTTTTTTTTTTTGAGACAAGAGTCTTGCTCTAACGCCAGGTTGGAGGGCAGTGTCGCAATCCTGGCTCACTGCAACTTCCGTTTTCCGGTTTCAAGCAATTCTGCCTCAGCCTCCCGAGTAGCTGGGACTACAGGCACGCACCACCACACCAGGCTAATTTTTTGTATTTTTAGTAGAGATGGGGTTTCACCATGTTGGCCAGGATGGTCTCTATCTCTTGACCTCGTGATCCACCCGCTTCGGCCTCCCAAAGTGCTAGGATTACAGGTGTGAACCACCGCACCTGGCCTGCAAGTGGGTTTTTAAGTGTCCCAGAATATTTATGTCTATGTATACGAGGTAATCATGTTGCTGAGTATTTTTAGGATTTGCTTCATTCCCTTAGAACACACGTAAATGCTATGTTTGTCCTTTCTCCCTTTGTGCCACATCCCACTAACTGGTAAAACAACAGACCAGTTTTACAACAACTTAATAGCTTCGTATGCACAGCAAAACACCAGGTGCAGGTCCTGCAATTCTGGCTCGCACCAGAGACTGAGTAATTAAGGAATGTTTTGACGAGGAGGAGGTGTGCGAGCCAGTGTAGACAACTTCACATCCTGGGTCAAGTGCAGCCTCTGAAGCCCTTCTCAGGCAGCCTATACTTTCTGATAAAAAGACAGGCACAGGGATACTTCTCTGGATTCATACTGTTGTTTTATCTCCAGAATGAATCTGAACCAGGTCCAGACAATCCAGTTTAGGAAGCTACACTGCATTTCCTAAAATACTATCAGTTTTCCTCAGGCTCACAGAAAACTAGTTAATATCAACAAACACAGGAGAAAAATGACGTTCGGAACATTCACTCCTTTAAAACACACACACACAATATGTAATTCAGAAATCATGTTTTTTAAGATAGGAGAGATCAATACTCTTAAGTGATAATGATAAAAAATTTAAAACCCAAACTCTGACGTAAGTGAAAATTCTATAAATTCAGCATAGGCCAATCAATAGCAAAATTACATAAAATCTAAAAACACCAACTTTAAAAACAGAAACTTCACGAGGCAGTCACAAGTGGAAGGCTTTTGTCTGGGAATCCCAGTAGCTACTGAAAGCTATGCAGGCATTCAAGCCAGTAAGCAGCACAGCCCCACAGGTGCTGAGATTGCTGCTGCCCTTGCTGCCCCTGAATGGCCAGAAGGCACAGTAGCCAGAGAGGAATGCCACTCCCGTATACTGTCACCTCTATGGAGGGAACTGGTATGGAATTGTGTCTGCTACTTCTATAGGCTCAAATAATCGCTTGGTCTAACAAGCTTGGAGACTGAAAGACTATGATTACTCGTAATTCTTTTATTTATTTATTTATTTTTGACACGGAATTTCGTTCTTGTTACCCAGGCTGGAGTGCAATGGTGCGATCTCTGCTCACCGCAACCTCCACCTCCTGGGTTCAGGCAATTCTCCTGCCTCAGCCTCCTGAGTAGCTGGGATTACAGGCACGTGCCACCATGCCCAACTAATTTTTTGTATTTTTAGTAGAGACGGGGTTTCACCATGTTGACCAGGATGGTCTCAATCTCTTGTCCTCGTGATCCACCCACCTCGGCCTCCCAAAGTGCTGGGATTACAGGCTTGAGCCACCGTGCCCCGCCTCGTAATTCTTAAGGGTGATGAACTTCACTCTCACCTCAAAAGAAGGCATGGTTGATGCCTGAGGCTTAAACATCACAGGTAATATAGAGCAGGAATAACAGTCAATGTAGCCACCTTACACCAGTGGTAGAAAAAGAGATTCACATTATAAATGAAAAAAATAAACAAGCAACCCCATTGTATGTTGTGCAATATGCTAAACTCAACAGTTTCAGCATATGAGCTTACGTCTACAGTTTGGCTCGCAGAATAAGGATATAAAAAATACTTTTGAATAGCTATACAATGTGTTTATGTTTTAAGCTAAGTGTTATTAAAGCAAAAGTATCTTTTAATCTTTTAAGAAGTGTAGTGTGGCCTAAGTGTACAGTCTACAGCAGTGCACAGTAACACCCTAGGCCTTCACATTCACTCACTGTCACTCACTCACTCACTCACCCAGAGCCACTTCCAGTCCTGCAAGCTCCACTCGTGGTAAGTGCCCTACACAGGTGTACCATTTTAAATCTTTTATATCCTACTTGTAATATCCTCTTTTCATATTTAGATACGTAAATACTTAACCATTGTGCTTCAACTGCCTCAGTACTCAGAAATATGCTGTGCAGCTTTGTAGCCTGAGAGCAATCTGTACCATACAGCCAAGGTGGGTAGGAGGCTACACCACCTGTCTGTGTAACTATACTTGATAATGTTACCACAATGCTGGAATTGTCTGATGACCCATTTCTTAGAATGTATCACCACCGTTAAGCAACGTTGACCATATTAATTCTGTTCTTGGAGGCTTTATTTTTTAAAGAAATGGGGACTCACGATGTTGCCCAGGTAGCTTTGATCCCCCACTTGGGCTCAAGCCATCCTCTCACCTCAGCCTCCCAAGTAACTGGGTTTATAGGTGGGGGCTCTCAGATCACTTTTCTGCATACCTTTACTATAATGCTAATTAAAGCCTATTAAATTTGATATTACTGGTCTGTCCCACTAGACTATTCCTTACTTAGGAATAATCTTATTTTTCAAATCCCTTCATTTTCCTTCTTCCTGCTTCCCCTTAGTGCTCCAAGTACTTTATAAAATGTAAGGACCTAGAAATGTTAGTCACATGTTAGTAAAAAATTGGAATCACAAATTCAAGTACCCCAAGGAACCAGCCAGTTAACGTAAATAGGCCCAGTGGAAGAGCAGCAGCACAAGCCTGATGAAGCTTAACGGCTACTGATCAAAAGCCTCAGTGCTGGGAACTGTCAGGGGCAGTGTGGAGTGTGGCCTCATATGGAGAGAACACACAGGCCCTTATGAAGACAGCGGCTCTGACGGACTGCTGTCATGTGAATCCAATGTGTCAGACTTTTCAGGTTTCCAAAGGAAGCCAGAAATCTGGAATTTAATATAAAACATTCGCATTAAAAAATGCCGATTTACAGAATAAATGTAGGCCAAAAAGGCACATTTGTGGAACTAGGTGCAGCCCATGGACCACCAGTGTTTGACATCTGGTTTAGCGACACTGACGTGTTAGATGGAGGCTAAAACTATCTTGCGATCCATAAAGGACTTCTGATGTGGCAGCCTCAGAGAGGTACAAGTGAACCACCAGAAGTCTGAGGAGGCTGGCGGGCCCAGCTGGTGGGCCAGGGGAGGTCCTGTAGGGCAGTCATATTTGAATTAATACAGCAAGCAGGACATTCTCCTGTTGAATGCTTATGATGAATACCAAAAAGGTACTAAAATGCCCAGGCTACCCTATACAAGATGGTGACCCCCCAACTCCATTGGCCCCTAGTATGCAGACCTCTTGGGCTGTCTCCTCCCTTGGCCATCACTGCCCGATACTAAGTATATACTTTAAATCACCTTGTTTGCCTCCCTCACTAGATCTACACCCTACCATGGCAGGGTTTTGACTGTTTTGCTCCCTGCAGTTTCCCCAGCTACTAAAGCACAGCCTAGCACATGGCAGGCCCTAATACATTCACTGTGTATGGTGATCTCTGGGCCCTGACATTGCCCAGGAACCCTCCAAGGGCCCCAGTCAGTTCTCTGTTCCTGTTCTCTACATGGGCTAATGCATGCTCCCCCTCTACTCATGCCGCTGTTCCTAGCCAGCCCTCTTCCCCTCTGGGCTGGTATCCACCACACTCCCAGAGAGAAAAGAACCCCAGAAGGTGGCCTTGACCCTCTGGCCATGACAGCCTGGCCCACCTGTGCAGCGCTCTTTCCAGCTCCTTGCTTCACAAGATGGATGAAGTGTCCTTGACCTACTGGACGCAGGGATCTCCTCCCTCTTCATCCATTCTCATCTCTACTTGTTCCTTTCTAACAGCTTTGAAACATGCTCATGACTGCCACCTTAAATCTCTCCACTCTGGACTTTGCCCCTCTGGCTGAGAACTGGTCTTCCATATCTGGCACTTTTTATCATCTCCACTGGACACATCAGGCTCTGTGCCTACTGCTGTGCTCATGGGCATGTCAGTGAATTGGCACAGTCATCTGCCAACTTGCCCAAGCTCTGAACTGTGTCTATCTCATCTTCTTCTTTGCTCCTGCATCCAAATGGTTACAAAATCTTGTGGTCATGGAGCTGTCATTGCTTTCAAACCCATCTCTGTCTCCACCCCAGGCCACCACCACCACCAAAACATTCATTTGATGTCCTACTGAATATGCTTAATATATTTTTTTCTTGGACAGAAAACTACCAGAGGATGCTGCTTTGCTTGCTGTCACTGGATACTCTTTAAATATTGTAGGGTGATAGGGAACTTAAATTATTTTAATGCTATTTGCTATAAAAACACTATTCAAAAATATTCATGAATATATAATGAGTACGCTACTTTTTTACTCGTAAAGAAATATTCAATACCTTTCATACCTGGACCGAGCAATGGTGATCGATTCAGTTGAGTACTGGCCTGGTGTGGTGGCGGCGTCTCCACCCTGTGTGTGGTGTTGCTCGTGGTAGTGGTGGCGGTGGTGGTATTGGTTGTGGTACTGCTCTGGATGACCGGGTTGTTTCTATCCCACATGTTTACAGTTTTATTGTTATAGTTGCTTGGGTCCCCCCAAGCTGAGGTACCATCATCAATTTCCATTTTGCGGCGAATGGACGGTGGAGAGGGTTCTTCCCAGCCAGTTGCTTCACTGCTGTCCTTCTGTTTGACTGGTACCGGCCCCCCGATCCACCCTGTTCCTGTCTGTTTCACAGAAGCAGCTCCTCCCCAGTTACTCACATTGTTGTCTTGGGGTTTGTTAGCCCAGTTTTGTTGGGGGCCAGGTTTTAAAGTCTCCCCCCAGTTTGTACCTGGATTGACCTTTGTATTTGTGCTGCCCCAGCTGCTGGTCCCAGATCTCGTGGTGTCATTCCAACCAGACCCTGATCTATTACTATCAGCATCCCATCCAGATCCATTTTTTTTCCCATCCCCTAAGTGTGCCAGGACAGCTGATGAATCTGCCCAGTCTCCCCCTCCTGCACTCCAGGCTGGATTTGATCTTTGTCCATCTCCCCAGTGTTGGGATTTGGGCTTTGGAGGCTCACCCCAGGTGGGTGACTTGTCCTCCTGATTTGCAGCCCCACTCCAAGCATGGCCACTCTTGGCAGCAGCAGCAGTACTAACAGCAGTAGAGCTTATCGAGTCCCCCCAAACCCCCGGGCCACTTGGCGCTTTGTTGTTGCCATCTCCCCAACCTGTGTTTGCTGGCACAGCGGCAGGTGGCGCACTGACCCACCCAGATACTGAAGAGGTATTTGTACTGTTCATGATGGACCCATCGTTCTTCCCCCCTGAGTTTGAAGGCTGAGTAGCTGCACAACCCCAGGCCTCTGTCCCATTGTCATTTTTCCTTTCAGACCTAGGGGATTCTTCAAATTCCCAGGCAGTGTTTTGCTTTACAGGAGTCTGTCCCCAACCAGTATTAGACAGAACTCTTGGGTCAAGATCATTCCTTGGCAACTGGATATGCCCTTGGTCTATAATCCCTTTATCTCGCTTTCGGCCTTCTCCTGTTCCTTCCCTCCCAGTGCTTCCTTCATTGTGGTTGCCAGAACCATCACTACTTCCTTCACTTGCTGTAGTTCCAGAAGACGCAGCTTTGGCCCAGGAGGTCATGTGTTCACCGCTAGGCTGCACAGTAGGGTTCTGGCTGGTGACACTAGGACTTTCCCACCCTGTTGATCCTTTCCCATTGATGTCACTATTGGAATGCTGGTTTGGGGGCTTTCCCCATTCTCCATTCACACCATTAGAGGTGCTTCGGCTGGGGTGGCCCCAAGCTCCTGAATGGATATTACCAACACCATTGTTGCCACTGCCCCTTCCCCAAGCAAGTATTCCAGGACCAGCAGGAGGTCCTGAATCCCAAGCATTTCCTCCATTTCCTTCCTTTTGCACAGCACTGCTGGATCCATTTTGTTTAGCACTTAATGCTGAGTTCACAGTGTCTCCATTCCCCTGACTGAACCCAGAATTGCCATTTCCTGTGGCAGGGTTACCTGGGGACAATCCCCACACGGAATTGCTTATTCCTTCAGCACTGCCCCCACTGACTTGAGAAACTGATGATCCATTAGCACCAGGAAGGCCTTGCAGGTGGGGTGGGATGATGGCCCCCATACCAACAGCCATGCCCCAGTTTGGCAGTCCATTTGTCTGCATTGCATTGATAGGGTTGGGTGAAGAGTTCATGGGGTTAGTGTTATTTGGTCCATCAGTGTTAAGGTTCTGAGGTTGTACGCTGAAAGACACATTCTGAGAAGTGGACGTTTGTGGTTCTGTGCTCTCTTGCGGCAGCAAATTTCCCCAAGCACCTAAAGTGCCTGTCGGGTTCCCGTTCTGGTTGCCCATATTTTGACCTATGGCACTGACTGGACTGCAAATACTGGAAGGGCTGCCTGTTGCCACGGTTCCTTCATGTCCAAGTACAGGCCAGGCAGCTGGGTTGGCATTAGGATTAAGGTTAAGATTAATGCCAGCATTGGAGTTGGAAGCACCCCAGCAATTCTGACTTCTCCCATCTCCAATCATGGTGTCCATTTTTCCATCCCCACCACTGATAGAGCAGTGAGCCAGGCCAGAGCTGGAGCCTGTGGCTACACCCCACACTCTGGCTGCACTTCCATTACTGTTCGCTCCTCCTGCTCCAAGGGCACTCTGATTAGAAGGGCTTTGGACGAGTGCGCCATTGGTGCCATTATTGCCATTTGTCTTCTTGGTATGTCCAGTGAAGTTGCCCTGGGCACTCCCTGTAGCCATGCTACTGTTCTCTGAGCCACAGTTGGAGGCAGAGTCAGTGTCTGTAGTACATTCTGAGGCAGATTCAGTCTCTGTTCCTGTGATGGAAGGCCACGCCTCCTTGTCAGTCCTATCTATTATCACTTTATCCCAGCTGCAGTTGGCTTCACTTCTGTAAGTAGGCTGCTGTCCCCAGTGGGAATTTTCATAATGATCTGCCAATCCACTATGACTGAGATCTGAAAAAGATGAAACAAAATTCAAAATTAGATTTTCTACCCATTTGTCAATGAATCAACTGTTAACTAGTCTTTGGGGAAGCTCTTTATTTCAAGTCTTCAAATCTGAATGACAAACACTAAAAAAATGACTTAAAGAAAAAAGCTAAATAGCTTCTTCCATTTTAAAAAAGCGTTAATGTTTCTAAAATTGTATCAATTCCGACCACTACACCATACTATTATTCCCCTTGGAGAATACTCACAATGCACATTAGCACATAAGGATCTCTGAAAGCATCTGTAGGAAAGGCAGCTCTGAAAGACACGTGACTTTGAAACTCCTGTAAACAGAGACTGCGACACACTGGCAATGACAGTAAGTTCATATGGAGTTTTGAACAGAACTTGTAGTTCTCTTTAAGACCTCTAATTACAGTATTATATAGAGGAAGAACATGGCTTTCAGCAGAAACAAACTGTAAATTGCCTTGCAGAAATCATAACAGAACCAATATTTGGGGTGGGGGAAGAGGTGACGGAAGGAAAGGGAGACAAGACATATGAGACAATGCTCTCTTATGTTTATCAAGAATACTAAGGATTAGAAATGTTTAATTAGATTTATGCTACTTTATCTGATCTTATCTACAATTTAGTTTATTGTTGTCTCCTGTGCATTAATTAAAAAAATCTGCAACTCAAGGACATGGCTAAAAAAAAAGAAAAAAGAAGAAAGAAAAAGAATCTCAGCCCTATAGGTGGTATCTTTTGGGTCTCCAAGGATTCCATCTATCCTTGTTTTCTATTTCTTTAGAGCCTTTTCTTTGGAGATTCCTAGAATAACTTTATATGCTATCTTCTTATAGTATTTATATAACTCTTTGGGTCCTTTTAAAGAATCCACTGTTTGGGATCTGCATATTATTTCCTATGACTTTAATAATTATTTGAGTACTTCCAACATTGCAATTAAACTTATATTCCAATCAACTTTTCGGCAGACTTTTAAAGTATCTATCAATCAGAAATAAAGTAAAAGAAATGTTAAAAAAATTTAACCCAAACAAACAACTCACATATATAATTTAGAAATCTCAGGTGAGTTTCTTTAAATACTACAATATACAATTAAATTGCAATAAAACATTTTCTTATCTTTTAGAATCTTTTAAATTAGGTTCTCTTCAAATTTATTTTAACAAGAAAAATATTATGGACAGTTAGAACATGAATTTGCCAAATAAATTCTCTTTTAAAGTTTGATAGAGCTAAAGGAAAAAGAGTATACATGTAAAAAATTATCATTATCATTAGAAAGACCATACTAAAGCTAATATCGACATAAGAGAGATTTTTATTGCCTGATTTAAGAGCAATGTAATGATTATGGAATGATGGTCTAGGTGATTCCAAGGTAGGTACAAAATTCCAGGTGAAAACTACAAAGGAAAATGAAGACAGGCAACAGCATTTTTTTTTTTTTTTTTTGAGACAGAGTCTTGCTCTGTTGCCTGGGCTGGGGTGCAGTGGCCTAATCTCTGCTCACTACAACCTCTACCTCCTGGGTTCAAGAGATTCTCCTGCCTCAGCCTCCAGAGTAGCTGAGATTACAGGTGTATGCCACCACACCTGTTTAATTTTTTGTATTTTTAGTAGAGACAGGGTTTCACCATGTTAGGCAGGCTGGTCTGGAACTCCTGAGCTCAGGTGATCTGCCTGCACCGGCCTCCCAGCTGGGATTACAGGCGTGAGCTACTGTGCCCAGGCAACAGAAAACTTTAAGTATTGAAACTGTTAGAAAACCACTAAGTTCTTCTCACTGCCAAATATTAGGGGTTGGCTCTATAACCCTGGTTTATGACAATCTGGTTTCAAACATACTCTAAAAACTAATACAATAACTAACTAAAGAGATAAATGAGCCATTCCTCATTTAACATAGAAAATAAGACGAAGTTAACATACTAAGATTATGGCTTGTTGCCAGCAAATATTGCCACATTTCATTTTACCATCTGTTTGGTTGTGCCATAAAGCGGACTGCCTCCAGACTAGGACAGCACTCACTGCAACCCAGAAAGCAGGAGGTTAACAACCTGCCTGACCAATGTATTCTTTTCCATAAGTGAGGTGCCATTTGAATACACAGTACTGTTGGTTCCATTCCCCAATAGTCACATTGTGAAAGAATCTGCCCTTTGTTCACGGTCTGCTTTGAGGACTTGAGGGTTGCTCAGCCCCCAGTTTGACAGGTTCACACTCAGTTATATGACAGGTTTGAGAGAAGCAGAGCATTACAAGCTGGTGGCTAATAAATGCTGTGGGACAACAGTCTAGCCACATGAAATGAAAGTAGATCCCTTATATAATATACAAAAACACATTCTAGATAAAGATCTAATTAGGAAAAGCGAAACTTCTTAAAGCTTATGAAGGAAATATAGAAGACCATCTCTATGATCTTGGACACTGTATCTTCTTATAGAAGACATGAAATACATAAGACATAAACAGGTGATAAATTCAACTATGCTAACATTAAAAACATCTATATAACAAAAGATATCACATAATGGAAACTAAAAAACCAAGCCACAGGCCACAGGCAGGGAGAAGATACACAGACCACAGGCAGGGAACAGATAATGTATGGTTATCAGATTAAAGAATTCCTGGCTGGGCACTGTGGCTCTCACCTTACTGTAATCCCAGCACTTTGGGAGGCCGAGGGGTGGCTTTCTGGAGGTCAGGAGTTCGAGACCAGCCTGGCTGACATGGTGAAACCCCGTCTCAACTAAAAATACAAAAATTAACTGGGTGTGGTGGTGCATGCCTGTAACCCCAGCTACTCAGGAGGCTGAGGCAGGAGAATCACTTGAATCTGGGAGCTAGAGGTTGCAGTGAGCTGAGATCGCTCCACTGCACTCCAGCCTGGGTGACAGAGACTCCATCTCAAATGAAAAAAAAAAAATCCTAAAAATCAGTAAGAAAAAGGCCAACAACCCAACCAGAAATGGGAAAATGATAGGAATAGGCAATTTAGAAAAGAGAAAACTCATATAGCCATTAACATACATGAAACAATAGTCAACCTCATGAGCAATCAAGAAATGCACTTTAATGTCACATTGACATTATGAAAGTGACATAACACAACAATTTGTGAACTGTGGTTCCCTCTGTGGGTGGGATGGGGACACCTATAACATATCTAAAATAGAGAGCTCTGAAGCAAATATGACATCATATTATGTATCTCTACTGTGAATACAGTTATATTATTTTCTGTATAATTTCTATTTAAAAAATATTTTTAAAATTTTCAATTTTCATGCTTAAATGTGATACAAATGAGGTGGCATAGAAGTGCCACCTTATTAAAAACCCATCTGCTCCCTGAATTGTCTCTTTTTTCTCATTTTGAGGAGTCTTGCTCTGTCATCCAGGCTGGAGTGCAATGCATGATCTTTGCTCACCACAACCTCTGCCTTACGGGTTCAAGTGATTCTCCTGCATCAGCCTCCTGAGGAGCTGGGATTACAGGCACGTGCCACCATACCTGGCCAATTTTTTTTTGGTATTTTTAGTAGAGACAGGGTTTCACCATGTTGGTCAGGGTGGTCTTGAACTCCCGACCTCATGATCCACTCGCCTCAGCCTCCCAAAGTGCTGGGATTACAGGCATTAGCCACTGCACCCAGCCTAAGTGTCTAATTTCTGAAGGTGAGTTTCTTGAGGGCATGGCAAACATCTTTTGTCTTCCATTCAAAATGCTTGCCACATATAGGCAAACAATGTACGTTTCCTAGGCAAACAAAACCATAAACGCATAGTGCTACAATCTGAGTTCTAGCTAAAGTCATCAATTAGCTGCACTTGCACAGCCCACATTGCTTTGAACAAGCATGTCTGTCTTCTGAGGGAACCACTTCCACCACAATGATAACGCCTCCTACTCAGACCTTCCCAGGCTTTGAGATATAGATCTCAACTATGCCACAGCAAAGTAACCACCAATGGGGCAATGCTGGCAGGAAGAAAAGTCAGTTCCACAAAGGCCAAAATCCATCTGCAGTAGCTGAAGTGCCATAAGGATGGCCATACAGAATGCCATAAGGATGAAGTCATGCCTGTTGAGTTTACATACTGGGTATCTGTAGAACCTTTTCCATTAAAACACAATAAACAAAACTTCCCCCTGAATGTCCCTATCCAAGCACCCTCATGTCTTGACCGGATTAACTTTCCAACAGGTCTCTTCCCATGCCACCTCCTGCCCCATCCCCAATAACATGCTCAATGCTGTGTATAGTGCTCTTTTCCAAATGAATGCCCAGTGAATCACCAATGGCTGGTTCTCTTTTTAGGCCATTCACATCATTCTTTCCCTTGCTCTGTGCTCCAGCTAGTTCCCTGAGGTGCCATCTGTGTCCTGCCCTCCCAAAGATAGGGCTGTTAAAGGTGCCACCCCCTGCCTGGGCTCAATGTCTGTTCTTTTTTCCTATCTCAAATCCATGCACACTTAATTTGGGAAGTTTTCGTTCTCCAATTAGGCCTCACTCATACATTCTTTTTAACAGTCTTCCTTTCAAGTCACTTAGACCAACCAGGTGGCCAACAATTTCTGTCAAGGGCCTGAGAGCCAAACTACTTTAGGCTTTGTGGCCCATATAGTCTCTGTCACAGCTACTCAGTTCTGCCACTATGGAACAAAACCAGAATGAGTATAGCTATATGCCAACAAAACTTTATAAAAATAGGTGATGGGCCACATGTGGCTCATGGGCCCAGAGCTTGCCAACCCGATTGACACAGTAACTATGATTCAGTGCCTCCTATGTGCAGCTACTGTGCCGGGGACACAGCCATAACAAGACCAACGAGTTCTTTCTCTCATGGAGCACACATCCTAGTGTGAGTTATCATGTGACTGGCTGGTTCTCCCTCTAGGCTGTAAACACCACGAAGGCAAGGGGTGACTATTTTGGTCCTATTTTTTTTATTGCCGGTGTTCAGCA